CTAGATACTGCAAATCAGATGTATCACACATTATCTAAGAAAATGTTTGGAAATACCTCACTTATTGGTGGTAAGTTTTTGTATATCTAATTAAAAAATATTATTCACTTAGTATTCATTAAGTATTAAAGTAATATAATTTAAGTGTGAAAAAACAAACCGATATAAAAACAAAATTACTTTAATGCCGTGTTTCAAATTTATTACAGCGCCATCTAATATAATTTTTTTTTTAGTTTATGTACAGCGCCACCTATATTTAAACTAACGCCAACAGGTACGTCGCGTCTAGTATGGACACACTCGTACTACGATACGGAGGCGTGGGAGAAGTTACTACGCGAAAACTTGCGAGACTGCACCCTCACAGAATGCAACAGATATAATACACCTAAAGTACGTTAAATTGCTATTATTTATATTGTGTCTAAAAGTGGATGCTTAATATTATAAAACTTGATGTTGGCCTAGACTAGACCTAGTTTAGATAATCTGTTGGCGACAATGATGTTAAAAATGACGTATTATAACTTGTCTGCCAGTGTCACAGCTATAGCCAGTTATGTTTACACTAATAGATGGCGCTGGTGTCGTGCGTGGTGAGCCCCGGCTCGCGCCTAGCGCCCTTCCTGTTCCGTACGTACGAGTGCGGGTTCCGCGTGCGCTCCGTGTTCGCGGGCACGCCGCGCGCCGCGGTGTGGCACGCCGTGCGCGCCTCCGCCGCCGCGCCGACCTACTTCAACGAGTTTAAACTAGATGGCGCTCTACATCAGGTGACACACGATTATCATTTCTTCATATATTATTAATATTATAACTCCCGTGACTCCGTCCGCGTGAAAATATTAAAGTAAAAAGTAGGTAATCTACGTATTTTTATATGTTCTATATCTATGCCAAATTTCATCGAAATACGAACAGCTGTTTAGGGTACAATCTAACAAACATCCGTTCCTAGAGCCAAACTTTCGCATTTAAAATATTAGTAAGATAAAAGGTTGTTACTCTTAATACTACGCTAAACTAACTTTAACGATAAAATAGTGTAAGAACAATGTATTTCAAGTCAACATTAAAGTAGAAAAAATAACTATTCAGTTACTTATATAATATTGGTCCTTCGAGTCAGATTTTACTATCAATTGTATTGCTATTCCGTACTTAATGTGAATAATTAATTCAAGGACGGCGGTATAATGGTGAATAACCCAACTGGGGTAGGTCTGCACGAGGCTAAGCTCCTATTTGGAGCAAACTCTGTGAAAAAAGGCACTGTGATCTCAGTGGGCACGGGCAGAGCTCTCAACAAACATTCCGACTATCAATTGATGAGTAAAGGATTAAACAAAGAAGCTTCTAGCACAAGCTGGAAGGATAAATTCAATAAGATTCTGGACTCTGCGACTGATACAGAAGGTTGGTTTTTGCTTGACTTGATTTTCTTTTCTCTCTCTGATTTAAAATGTCACAAAAACCCAATATACCATTATTGGTTCGATTAGTCTCAGCTAATCTAGAAGATAATCAACATAAACTTATAACTTCTTGATAAAAAAAAATCAATTATATTAAAATTTATAATTATCGTCTTGTTACAAAACTAACTAATCAATTGCTTCCAGGCGTTCACTTAATTCTAAACGATTTACTACCCCCGGGCAATTATTTCCGTTTCAACCCACCCTTGATGGAGGAATGCGCGATGGACGAAATCAACCCTGATAAACTGAACAACTTGGTAACAGATACCAATGCTTATATACGAAGAAATCAACATAAATTCGAACAAGCCGCTTATATGTTGACTAGAAAACGAAGTATTTCACAGAAACTGGTCGATTATGTATATCATAAGAGTCAAATAATGGGCATTGTGCAGAGCAACTGACGGACAGACAATCAGCAAGATGCTGATACTTGCTGATTTATTAAGAAGACAGACTATTCCGGTAATAATATAAAGAAAATTATTTAACTGATAATCCATTAACTTTGTAAGACAATGCAAAAATCCGTTAACATTGCAAAGAAACCCTTTGACAAATCCAGACAATCGACTAAACCTTGCAGAAATAACCCCTAAAAAATCTGTTTAAAATTGTAATAAAACCTTAAAAATCCATTAACTTTGCCAACAAATCCTTTAAATTCAGTTGTTTTGGTCCTTCGAGCCAGATAGTTATTTTATAGTTTAATAGGATTGACTAATCTTGATATTTTATATCTTAGATAAGATAGAAAATGGGTAAATATATAGTTTAGTCATATATTAAATCGAATATATAATGTTTTACCATAAGTGCTTTGCATTTATTGATGTTTTAATACATTAGTGGTCAAAGTTATTTGTCTAATGTAATTTGATCTTTCAAATAAAATACTTCGGCTATTCTCTGCCTTCATATATTTGTATAATTTTAAATAAAACTTTTTCAATAAATAGATTTTAACTTACATTAGCTTTTAGCTGTTGAAAATTATTAAAAAAGTTGCACATATATTAAAAAAAAAACTGTTGAACTTTAAATTTTATCTCTATCTTTACAAACTAAATGCGAATATAAAAGTTTCTTAATAAAAATAGTACGCCTTAAAAGCCATTAAATGGTTATAATAAAAATAATTGTAATAAATCGAATATTAACAAATAATTGTTATTATTATAATAAAAATAGGTTTATTAATATTAAGTATATTTTATGTTGATTGAAGAATTTTATAGTTTGGTTTGTTACTTTTGTTTATAAAAGCCTTTTATGCTGTGATAGTATTTAAAATTCTTCAATCTTTGCTTTGTTTATGTTCTAGTCATTTTAAATAAATAAATAATTGTCGAAATAATGTGTTTTATTTTACCTATCTTAATAAGTCAGTCAGTAAAGTTTTTTATTTAATTTTAGTAATTGTTGTAATAACGTACAAATAAAATTAGAGAAAGTATACTCCATGTAACGTCATACTCCTTATAAAAACCACTATATTTGTAAATATATAATCGTAGCTTAATTTAGAAAATACAAGTCATGATAAAATAGAAAATATCAATACCCCGTATAACGTCGAATTTCACTCGGTCTCTTGAACGACGTTATATAGAGTTTACACTTACAATTTTTATTTATTCAGTAATTGATCTGTCTTCCAGTTTTATGATAATCTTAATTCGAAACAGTAAAATTATTTCAATAGCTAAAGATATCCGAGTAAGTAATAAAATTGTATGATTCTTTGTAGAAAGACAAACCAGGAACGTTCTAGACATGTGACGTAAGTAACCTCTACATTACGGTACACGGCTCTACTTTCACTTATGACCAGTATAGCTCGACTGATAAAACTTGATACTTCATGTTAGGTTATTACAAGTTTCTTGAACAACGAAAGCTTATAAAATTAGCTCAAAGGCTCAATCTTCTAACGAATATCCCGATTGCTTTTTGAATCATGCTCGTGGTAAAAACAATACTAATAAAACACAAAGTAACTTATATAATTATTCGATAATTAGGAAATAAGTATAGTAATTATTAATAACGTTACTTTTTTAAATTGAAAATAATTTACTAAGTATCAAAATTGGTAAATCCAACTACAAAATAAATAAAAATTAATTATGTGTACATAAAACTACTTCAAGTGAGTTATTTTAGGAATAATTATCTTCAAAAAATTATGTATAATTTCCAATAATACACATGATTTGTTAAGAAGCCCATCAAAACTAATTAACATTCGATAAACGTAAGTTCCACCACCATCGCAGCAGTTTTGTAACCGGTTCCAGTGTGGACGCACGTACACCACACCTTTGCCTGAGATTGTTGTTTTAAAAGAAGAAAAGTGTCAAACGCGCGTTTGTTTTTTTCGAAAATGGAACGAAGTTTAAAATTGTTTATGTTGCTGGTATGTTTGATTATTGCTTAATATTTTTTAATTTGATGTTACGTTTAAAGCTTTTGTTTTTAATAAAGTGTAAATAAGATTTCTCGACTTTCTATATTAACGTAATTTATACGGCTCAAGAAAGTTTGCTGTTTTGCTATGTTTTTAACAATAGCAAAAATATTCTAAACTATTTGCTTCCTGGTTTTAATTTCTTAAAGTTTTTTTACTGCAAAACTTTTAATGTGTTACGTTAATATTCTTTTTTGGATTGTAACTTAAAAAAATACAGACGAATTGAGTAAAAGAAGGCTTTTGGGAAGTCGCTAAATCAAAATATGGGTTAGTGTGTCAATTGATTTTTTACATAATTCGTGACTTCAATGTAATGTAGCCATTCCGTAATAGATGGCGCTGTACTAACATTGCATCACAAAGATCATGTAAACAGTCATGCAATTCTTGCTTTTTTTTATACTTTTCAGCTCGTTATTATCCTTTCTATGGCGATAACATCGGAGTCATCCGTGCCACAGCCAAGAGCGCCAAACTTCCAGTACTTTGAAAGGTATTTTTAAAAATGTGTTTAAATGTTAATTTATTCAAACAATTTGACAATATATTGTTACAGACTTGTTACTTTCCGAAACATTATTTTTATTTTTTTATTTTCAGACCGAAATACCGCTATCCATACTACGACGAGAACGGAAAAGGCAAACTATTGTACGGGTACGGCGGACCGGATTTATATCAATATAAGTCGTATTCTCCGCTAGAGGGCATTCATTAAGCATTTTATATTACTTTATAATATACAAAGCTTAAATTAATAATTATAAACCAAGTACTATTTGTAAGATAGAATATTTTAATAAACTCTACTAAATAACTCTGTTTTACTTATTCTTCTGGTAAAATTACCAAGCATAAACATTAAAACACATTCACATACCTAAATACTATTAAAATTATTATTTTTTAAAAAGCTTAAATTGTAATTGAATTGTATAAATTAATCTACAAGCTAATTTTACTTCGTCCACTATAGGAACCAAATGACAAATTGTACTTACTATACTGACTATATGGTTAAGGGTGAACCACACACAAACATAATAAATTAAAATATTTAGAGTTATTTATTACATAACTAGCTTTCGCCAGCGACTCCGTTCGCGTGGAATTAAAATTACAAAAGTAAATAGCCTATAATATGTTCTTTCAGATCATGCTTTACATCTGCCAAACTCCATAGATTTAGTTTATTCTAAAAACTAACAAACAACCATCCATCCATCTAAACTTCCGCATTTAGATTTGACAGTTTGACTCATAGGACATAAATATGCTGTTTTCTTTTGGTTGTCATAGGTTAAGTATTCACATAGTATGTAAATCGGCGTCACATTGTAAATGCTTAGCACATTACTTACGATAACGACCGATTGTGTATACAAGTTTGCCGTAAAGTTGACATCTTGAGCCAAGGTAGAGGTTGTATGAGATTAAACAATATTATATAATTAAGAGGAAGATGTCTTGTAGAACAAAAACGAAATACCTTACTTAAATAAAATATTAGAAATAAATAAAATTGTGTTTCCATTTTTTGAGTGATATATTACATATATTCATTTTATTAAAAAAGTATTGTTAAAAAATTAAAATATTGTGATAATGTCACTATATATATTGAGTGTCACTATATACATACTTAGTGTTTGATTTAAAAACTCTAAGTTTAGTGACAAAATTGCTACATTAAGTTCATTATTAGAAATAAAAAAAATACAAAGACCAAACACGATTATCTGCACCTTAATATAACACTACCGAGAGAAAACCTTGAAACATGTTAAGTTTAACAAAACAAGCTCTGATGGTTTATTTATTTTCTTGCGCATTATGAAAATTAGATTCTTAATCATTCAATTCCTACACCTGAATGCGTGAATACGTTAAAAAGCGCGAATTAAATTTTTAAATTGAATGCTGCCAACATAATGGCGTTAAAGTTATTATTCTTAATTTTGGCATTTTCGTTAATCTGTGAAAGTGATCTTTTTTCAAGTTTTTGGGCGCCAATATTTGACAGGAGGATTTTGAATTATAGAGTGGATTTAAAATTCGATCCGGAAAGTGGGAAAAATAATAGAAAGGAATATGAACAGAGATATGGATATAGGGGTGAAGCATTAATTGCTGATTTAGGGAAGGGTAAAGTTCCTGTAGTCGGAAACAATAACTCTAATAAGGTAATTATATTTGAAGAGATAAAGAGCCAAATGGTTCATTCAAGTTTTTTATTTGACACATTTAAGTAAAAAAAATTGTTTTGATTCCAGGATTATGGTGACATAAAGTTTTATTATACAAAAAAATAAATTTTAATGTACAAAATTTGTTTTTTATTTTGTAGACTACCAGATTATGGCTGGTTAACACTTGGCCGTAGAATCCATGCCAGGCCTGTGCTACTGCCCTGTGTGAACCAAGCATTAATCATACCATATATCATATAAAAACCTTAATTTAAAGGAAACAGGAAAACAATTACATTTCCTCAATTAAAAAATAATGAATATTCCATAGTTGAAGGTTGAAAATAAAGTTAAAAACAGTTTAATATAGTCACCAATAGATGGTGGTGTTTACCAATTCAAATTTACGTTTCTGAAACTTGCCAATAGATGGCAGTGCATGCATATCCAAAAACTCAAACAAAAACAAAACAAGATGTAAAAAAGTTTCTATTTATGGAATATGTAATCACTTACATTTACTTAGAAAAACTTAAGGCCTTGGCTATATCCTCCGTTTTTGTGTGCTGATGTACAGAACGTTATTCCCACGGATAAATGCATCACCATATTTATTCTTTAGTTGTCCATTTACATATTCCTCAGTTTGTTCGAGGGCTATGTTCATGTAGCCATCAAGACAAGCAAGGACTCCTGGAATAATAGTAATTACAATAAACAACATGTTTTCATAATTTGCAATACAAACAGCCAATGAACATTCATACATTTAGAGGTTATACGATACCAAACATTTTATAAAAACTCGTTGTTCCCTAATAGTTTTTTTCTAACATTTATTTGTAAATGTAATATTACGTTAAAAATATTAGTGTAATGCGTAGTTTTAATTCTTACCTCTATAATCAACACCGCTGTTAAGTTTTACAACAACCGGCCTCCCATGAATTTGTTGTATAAACGACGAAAGAGCTTCTTTACGACTCATTGTGGATGTTTTAACTTATTAAACTATCACAAGTATTTTTGTAGCCTAAATATAGAATATAGAATTTCGCTTTGAAGCGGTATTTTGATATTTATTCTGACAATTTTAATTTAAAATGACAGTGATGGTTAAATTAAATCAAATTTCAAAGAATAAATACACAGATTATACCTAGATGTAGCAACCTGTAATTAACAGACAAACAATTTTGATGTCAGATCGTCAGGTCATTCATCTATGTAAATGGATGGATAGGTCTATGCTTGGAACTGCTTGGAACCGAAAGATTTATGAGAATTTTTTTTAACAAACTGCACTAAGTAATACATTAAGTATATAACGAAAGCATGATTACTTTGCAGTATATAAAATCGGACTAGACCAACACACCCACAAGAATCAAACACAAATACATTCCAATTGGAAATTATGTGAACTGATAGTGCTGATAGTGGCAAACTGGAATGTGTTACCATTTGCAACGCATTCTAGAGACTCGTAAAAATAATGTGCTTGATAATGTTCATCAGATAATAAATTACTATTCGATTCACAATTTTCAAGCAATGACTATCCATTTATAGAGATCAGTGCTTGGAAAATTTTTGACTTTTATTCATGCCGAAATGGAATGTCACAATGTCTTGTCATCTCTCATTTTGTCTCGTTCTGTGTTCTGTTTACAAAAATGGCCATAGGTGTTGATACTTCGAAATGGAAACCTAGAAAGTTAAAAGGAACTCCCGCTGCGAAAGTCAGTAATATAATTGGAATAAGTGTCTTAACCTTTGGTGTGGTTTGGGGTGTATTTTACCAGTAAGTTATATACTCATTTTCTTTATGTAATTTTGCTGTTATTGTAGCATAAGAGGTTATGTTGTCATTTTATTACAGATTTTCAAATATAACATTGAACTTTCGTAAAAAACTGAGCCCATTGTATGAGGACCCTGAACCAGAAGTAGAAAGAAGACTGATGATAGCAAGTGGCTTAAGAAATAGATCGGGTGATATGATACGAAAACTTAAAGAAGAACAAGATAGGCCTGATACTCCTGATAAGTAACATCGAAAATGTACATAGTTTATGTTAATTTATTAAGCAGTAGTTAATAAATGTGTAGGACTTATGTTTGTTTTAATTCTGGATATATTTAATGGTAGAACAAATTGTAACAAGCAGATACTTCCAAAAATCTGGAATGGATGAAAGCTTCACAGACTTCAAAGAGAAGAAAAACATTTTTACAGAACCTAAAAGTAAAAAACCTAAAGGAAAGAAGCAGATTACTAAAAAAAGAATTAAAGGTCAAAAAGACATTAGAACATTGATAAGGTCAAAGAAAAATGAACTTTTGACTTTTACAAAGGATTTCAATGATGTGTGTGCTCAAGGTGGTGTAGATATAGACTCCCAGGAGTTGCAGCTAGCCATAGCACTATCGAAATCACTACAGCACTCAGATCAGACAGCAACTGAAGAATTCCCAACTAATAACTTAACCACACAAGAGAGAACAAACAGGATACGGAGAACTTTACAAGAATATGGATTCAGGGTACCGCAAGTTAAAATAAAATTAGAAGGTTGTAAAAGAGTAAAGAAGTATAGAAAATCATACAAATTGTTACAGATAACTGAAGCAGAGAGACTACAAAAGATATGTAATAAATATTCACAAGTATTGTTTGAAAATCCAGATAAATCATTTGAAAAAGATACAAATGATTTTAATACTGGCAGTAAACTTTATCATTTAGCTACAAATACAACATATGAAGATATAAAAACCAATATAGTATATGCAACAGAAATATTCCAAGAAATTTCATTTACAAAAGGCAATCTATTAAGAAATTGGTCCGACATACCTGGTCGACCAGAAAGCCCTAAACTTATTGAAGAATATGTCATTTCTATGCCAGATTTACAATGCTCCCAATATGAACTAGATATAATTTTAAGTGGAACAGTAAACAAAGCAAAGGATATTTTAAAATCAAAACTAAATCTTGATACTAATGTTGAACTGAATAATATTTCTGTAGAAACTAAATTAAAAACTAAAGATTTTGAATTGAAAGGTGGCCAAGAAGTTCTTGCAATGCTGCATGAAGATCGAAGTAATTCACCAGACATTTTTGATGATGACCATTCAATTGTTTATTCAGTTTCTGATTATGATAAAAAGAAAATAAAAACTGGAGACAGCAATATTAGCATGTTGGACTTAATACCACCAACACAAGCAATAAACAAAAATCCTTGTTCTCAATCAAGTAACACAACTAAAAGGAGAACAAATGATTTTATGGATTTAACTGAATGTATTCTAACTACACAATGTAAAACTAAATTACTGGAAACTGAAGAATTAACAAATAATAGTATGGAATTAACTAAATGTGTAAATCCTATTTCACAAGAAAGTAAAATTAGCAAAGATGAAATAAAATCTTTAAGTCCCGAGTGTGTTCTTTTAGATGAACCAGCTGTAGTTTCTGAACAGAAGGTAGACAACTCTCTAGATGAAACTATTATCGTCAAAGATTATGTTGATCTTAGACAGTATTGTCCAAAACAATTAGAAGATTCTTTAAAAATAGATAACATGGAGACAATGGATCTTACACAGTCTTCGAATTCTAATGATGAGTTACCTGCAGTGAATATTCCTGGGACACAAAGATTCTCTCCAGATGATACCATTATTGTACAACATAACAGTGATATCCCTCAAACAAATATAAAACCTTCAAATTCTAAAGAACCTAATGTAATAGAAGTAAATGATATAGTTCTTGATATTTCGAATGAAATTCCTGAATTTAGTTTTAACGCACAAAACAGATCTACAATATTGCACAATTCACAGAACAGAATTGAAGATTTCGCAGAAAATAAATCATTTAGTTTAACAGCAACAAGATCTAATAAAGAAAACGACGATATTGATTTGACTCAGTCATCAGACTCGACTATAGATGGTTACTATGAAAACTTTACAAGTAATGTGTCTAAAAATGAAATAAATTATAATAGCCTTGGTAAGAAAGGAGATATTTCTATAGATTATGATTTCGCCTTTGACCAAGTTGAAGAAAATGCTTATCAAATAGATGACCAAAGTAAAGACAGTGAATCTAAATCTACAAATAATTCTCATATTGTAGCTAGTGATATTTCAGATAATTTTAAACTATGTGATAGGGAATTGAACTATTCAATGCATAAATCGAGAGTGGATGATTACGGCGATATATCAATTGTTGATAGAGATGATATTCCTGTTATGGCAGAAAGTAGAAGCTGTTTTAACAATTATACAATAAATAGATCATTAAGTGAGAGTGATCTTCCAATCGTTAATATTAATGAAGGAACAAAATACAGGGATAAACAATTCAACATAACCTTAAGTAAATCAGCATGTTCTACTCCAATTAAAGCAACTGTTACAGATGATAAGGTTTCAATTAGTACACCAAGTAATTCAGAATATATAGTAAAGTTAGGTCAAGTTACGCCAATGTTAGATTACGAGGCAATGTCAAGTCCGGAAAGGAACAAGGAGTTAGAGAAATATGGTTTAAAACCATTCAAACGGAAAAGAGGTGAGATAAAATTTTATTAATGTAATAAAAATAGTAGAAAATTTTTCATAGAAATTAGAAATTTTCAGGTTTTAAAATTTATATTCTAAAATTATTTTTATTGTTTTAAAAGAGTGGGAACACAAAAGTTTATTTTAATCTTTAAAAAATAAATTAAACCTTCCTATTTTGATGGAAGAATATAGTGTTCTTTGCCTTTTTTTCAGCAATACAACTCCTAACACATTTATACAACCAAACACACCCAGTAATAGAGAAATGTTCAGAAGATTCTGTACCACTTAAGAAATTCAAACCCAATTCACCGGAAAGAGTTATTTCAGAAGAAAATGTTATATTAAATAAAGAAAATATTTATAATGAAACAAAAACTAATCCTGATATAAGAAATATTGAATGTTGTCCTGATGATTGGGTTTTTCAGAAGAGAGAGAAAGCTAAGGTTTGTGATATTAAAATGACAATAAACTTAATAACTTATGCATGCAGAGATTTATAAATAAACTTAACTAACTAAACTAAATAAAATTCTGTTAAACCAATTCACGAAACCGGCACACATATTAAAATCTTGCTATTCAACATTTTAAAGGAAATGAAAGGAATCGTCATTATCTCCCCTGCCTTATCCTACTCCCGTAGGGTCGGCGCACCGGGTTTTCTTGCTCCAAAGCACTCTATCATACGACATCTCAGTCATCACTCCCTTCTTGTCATGTCACTTTTCACGCAATCCATCTCTTTCTAGATCTACCTCTACCGGTGTACCCGTCCACATTACTAACATCCGTCTTGTTACATGCGATTCATCCCTTCTCATAACATGCCCATACCACTCTAACCTTTTACTCTCTTTATTTTGTATAGTTTTAACAGTATCTTCAATGCTAATTATTGCTTGAATCAAAATCACAATGTAGCATTCAAAGTGTTAAGTAAATATATTTCTTCAGGTCCACTCATGTCCAGTTCCATTACACATAGTGTTTCATAACTATGTGTCCTGTCGGAGGTATTTACGTGAAGCTATATTGCGCTATGAACCAATCAACATAGATGTTGTCCACAAGCATCTTGTATCATATGGTTTTAGATATAATCCTAAGGTAAATTATACAAAAAATCTGCCAACTGTAGTCCTGTTTACTAAAATTATATAATTGCTTGCTTTTCCGATAGTTAAAATGAAAGATACAGTAAGGGACCTTCGAAGTGTTCGAATTACAAAATTGTCTCATTCCTTGCAAAGAGATACTCTGCTTCTTAGAAATAATTATGTGGCAGTGATTGTTTTTAATAATAAAAAACTATTTATAGATATTTAAAACTGCGTCATATTGGTCAACATATAAATGTAAATGTAAAAAACAAAATGTTAAACAATAGTTTTCTGTCAATCTTTAAAGTAATACACTGCTAGATTACCTGATAGTACATTGCGAAAAACATTACTAAGGTACATTGTCATCTCGCTCTTTTTGAAAGAGACAGCAAGATTTAAAACAAGTTTTATGATAGTGTTTTATCACAACTTTGACTAAACAATCGCACAACTGTTGTGCGATTGTCGATTGTTTCACAGCCAATTCAACTGTTTAGTTGCACAACTAAAACCGAACAGTGTGCATACCTCAATGTAAACTGATACGAATCAAAGCGAGACTAAACAGTTGTGCGATGGTTTAGTCTAAGGTAAGGAAATGTACACTTTATTAACATGGAATTTTGTTTCAGGATCTACTAAAATTCTTAGATAGAAAATGCATTACAGTGAAAACTGCAGACAATGCGAGAAATAACAAATAATATAGGAATCACCATAACATTGAAAGTTGTATTTAAGTTTGTCCATGTTTAACGGTGACTCCGGGATTTATTTGTATTTTTATCTTTATCCGATAACTAAAGCTTATTAGAAAAAACTTTATATATTATGTTTGTCTGTAAAATTATGGTGAATTTTCTAAATTGTATACAAAGTAGAAATTAAATAAAATTTAAAATAAAAGTGTCAAGATTTAATTATAATTAGATCACAATTTCAATATTTATATACACAATGCTATATACAAATTATTAATATTATTTACAAATACATATTCACTCATATTCTGCAGTTGCTATAGCAACCGCAGTAAACATATGATTATGTTTTCAAACTAAAATAATGCCCAATACACCTTTCCTGTCCAGTGATTAAATCCAGCACTAGAATCCAAGTAAAACAATACTCACACACTGGAATGCAAATTCCCAGTACAAAGTTCCAGTTGTAATTTATCTCTGGATTCAAAGGACTGAAATAGTGCAACTCGGGCTATATTAAAAAAATATAAAATGAAATCCTTTCTTCATATATTTATGACAGAAGTATGTGTCATTTCTTTAGCAGACCCGCTTGTTGTATAACCTGTCTTGTTGCATTGTTAATGTGACGGAACCTGTCCGGACCAAGTTGTATGCCACCATACCTGTAATGTCAACATTAGGATAAAAATGTAGGGTTTTTATTAATTTATCCGGAAAAATTTAGCGTCACCTTCGTTGAAAATCATATGACAAATTTAAGACTTTTTTATTTTGGTTTACTACAATAAATAATAATAAATAAATTCATTTATTAAATAATAAGCATCATTGTGTGTTCACAACCAAACTGACGGGGCGAGCTAAAGAGACAGAAATTTTAAAATAAATATATTAATTACTTTAAAATTTTAAATCCTAAGATTTCTACAATCCTCAGAGACTCATGTAGATAATAAAAATATTACTTGTCAGTTTTTGTTTAAAGCATTGTCTTTGGAATAAAATAACGTTACCAAGTTTTCATTGATACTGTTAAGAAGAAATCGGTGCCGCGCCGGAGTAGCGGCACAACACTAGATCATATTCATTCACATCACTATGACATCTGTCAATGTCAATTATTGAGGATAAGCGCGCCAAATAGATTTACGTTGTTACACTTAATTTCTAAAAGTACTTACCACCTAGATACCACAACTAATGTGTTCTTCTGGTCTAATATCTGCAGTAAATGTAACATTCTACCTCCAGCGTGAGCCTCACCATCATCGTCACAGTCTTGTAATATAGACACACCTTTCTCAGTTTTCCGCTCGATGCGGTATGCATACATATTATGAAAAGCATTCATTATCTTCTTGTTTTGTTTTAATTTTGTCATAACTGCACTGAAAACCAACAAAGTATTAAATTTAAAAACATATAAAGGACCTTTACATGTTGATTGAAAAGAGTAATATTTAATTGTATTTCTATACTAATAAAATGCGTAAACACACTACTTAGTTGTAGGATGCCTATGTAGGATGTCCGTAATTACGGCATGATTTTTTATTTTTTTTTTAATAAAAAGCCCTACACTTGACAAACTATAGGCTATATACTTAAACGCTATTGAACTTAAAGGTAAACAAATTAAAAAAAACCCCTTATGCGGAAAAGGGACAGAACAGACAGCAGCAAAGAAGCAAGGTTGCCATGGTAACGGTTTTTTTTAGTATCAAATGCCTTTATCAAAGAGTACTATAATATATATAAAAAAAAAACAAAAAAAAACCAAACAACTAAAAAGATCGACATTGACGCAACTAGATTATACCACGTAGTGACAACTATGTCATTCTGAGGAATTAATTTCATTCAACATTCAATGGGGACCAGGGTAGTTCTATAGATGTAGCTGCAACTCTCTCCTATGTCAAATGTATGCAGTGTCCCGGCCCTGCCCTTTTTTGTCATTTGTGTATTTGAATTTTGACATTTGAAAACACAAATGTAATCAATAAAATAAAGTTTTTATAATTTCATGCGGATGCAGTCGCACAGGAACAGCTAGTATAACTTTAGGCTGCGACTCTACACACTAAATTTTAAAAATATGAATGCAAATAGGTTATGTGTCCTTCTAGACTATATTCTATATTTGTGACAAGTTTAATCAGAATCTATTGAGCCTTTTCAACAAACATCCATCCATACAACTTAACATTCTCATTTATGATATTAGTAAAAGAAATATTCTTTAGCAAGTTGGTAATAATAATTTAAGAGTACTTACTTGACATCATCAATACTGTGTACTTCAGCTGCATGACCTTGAAATGAACTTTTTCTATCAACAATCACCTCACCATGTGTTATTACCGGACAATTTATTACCAACTGGAATTAATACATTAAAGAAATTAATATCCAAGTTATATTCACAAAGAAAAATGTTTTTGTTACTGTTTTATTAAGTGTACTAAAGATCTCTTTTTATAAGGATAGGAAGTTGGCATGGATTTGATTGAGGGCAAACATAAAAACGAGAAACAACAATTTCTGCACATTGAGAAAGGGAGGGGCTTTTGTTGATTAAAAGGTAGTTCACATATCCGCAATTCAGGATGTCTGGTCACTATTATTGTGTACTAACATCCATCCAAATGTATTTTAAAAACAAAAGAAAGTAGCCTATGTGATCCTCCAAGTGCTCTACATCTATGCCAAATTTTGACAAAATCCTGCCTTTATGAAACATCCATCTATCTGAACTTTTGCATTTATAATATTAGTATGATTATGGTGGAGGCTTGTACTTATCTCTAAGATAAAAATTCTAACATAAAATGTATTCCACAATAAAGAAATGTATTTGAACCTAAATGAATAAAAATGATACTTTTTTTTATTAAAAGATGAATATTACCTCAGTCAAATCTGGAATTTCTTCAACTTGTATGTTGTTTACTTTCTCTTCCTTAGGTTTTATTTGTAGCAGGGTTTCTCTTATTTTCTCCACCCATTGATAAATTACTGTCTCACCAATATTTTCTCTGGAATTTAAGATGATTTCAAACTTAATCATTACTAGAGAACTTAGGTTTAAGTAGAGGAAAATTAAGTTATGAAATCAAGCAATTCATTTTTGCATATTGCCAAAAATATAAACACTGTCATTTGCCTAAAATCCATGTTATCTTCACATTAGTCATGGTATAAAGGAATTATTTAAAACTAGCCTTCGTTCGTGACTCTGTCCTCTTGGAATTAAAAAAAAACAAAAGTGAGTACCAGAATTGTTCTTTCAGACTATCCACTGAATCTCCAAATTTCATAACATCATCCATCCATCCATCTAAACTTTCACATTTATAATATTAGTGTGATGTATTTGAAACAAGTTTGTTTTGATATTAGGAACTCTTACTTACAAATATACTTCATCAAGGCTTTGATGTAGTTTTTCTTTCTCTCTCCGATCCATCCAAGGAGCTGATAATTCATATTTAGGTGGAGCTTGCCCCGGGTAGTCCAAAGGCATAGTTACATACAATATAACCTCATGAGCATTTTCCTTTATTTTTATATTATAAGACCTGGTTGCTTCACTCTCTGTTGTCCAATCTTCTCCGTAGATTGAACTTAAAGCCTCTACTTCTTCGAACTAGAAATAAAAGCCAGTATATTATTAAGATATCATTTCAGTGTGTAGAATGCCAGTTACAAAGCTTGTAAATATTTAAATGGTGCTTTTTTGAAGAAATGCACAAGAAGAGTGTGAAGTAAAATTTTGAGAAACTTTTCAAAGAACACAGCAGTATAGGTTAACTTACTTGTTTGGTTAAATTGTCAGCATCCATGATTAAATGAAATATCACACTACCAACACAATATGGCTAAAATATAAAAACTATTCATTTATGTTAGTTCATAACGAAAAAGGCACACAATTACACATACAAATGAAGTAAAATTTGAGTTCGTCTTTCAATCTAAAGTTGTCATTTATGACAATGACATATTCTGTCATAAATGTCAAAGTGACCGAAAATTTTCGTTCAAAATTGATCATTTTCATAACTTTAAACTATGGAAAGACAACTCGCATCATTTTAAAAAGCAAGTTATTTAAAACATTTTCAATACAAAAGATATTTTTTACGTTTATCGTTTGGAACTCGGTTTTTAACATGTTTGAACAAGTTTTAACATCTAGAGCAAAGAGGATATAAAATCTAGAGGTTTGACTATGAATACAGATAACGTGTCTTTTGAACAAAACTCACAAAGTTGTCAATTCAAAAATCATTTTTTTATCAACTACCCTTTGAAAATGTTATCGCGTCTGATTTTAAAAACTTGTTTCAATCAATTTTGTGTCCTGTAAAATTACTGGCTATAAAGGTAAGGTGATTATTTGTTATTATTAGGAAATCTGAAGTCATTAAAAATTCCCTGTCAAATAACACCTATCGCAATGCATTAACTTCTATTAAGCTTTTCGTAATTGCTAGAACGGTATGCAAATACAAAACGTAATAGGCGTATTATGGAAATATGTCCCAGACCGGAAACTTTGTGATTTCATGCAAAGCTTTGATTTAGTCACACGATGTTATTACGAAAGAAATTGTTTTCGTTGAAACACTCTATTTCCTATAAAAAAAAAAAAACAGTCTGCTTGAAGGCATCAATGTAAACTCGAACGTTTGCTAGGGTAATGGTTTAGGTTAGTCGAACATAGGATTCGAATCCATGGCCCCTGAGGGCTTTATTTTAACACTAAATGAAAAATAAAAGTCAGGTTTTCCAATATTTGGTTTATTGTGCTGTAATAAACAACTAGTTGTGAATTCCAAAGATTCTAATTGTTATTTATTTACGTGAATGATACAAAATGGCGTCTCATCAATGTTTTAAAACATAAGACCAAATAAATTGACGGAAATTTCGAGTTTTTTATAGTAATAAGGTAAGTAAATTAAATATCTTATTACAGATGTGATATATATTTTTTAATAAATATTGCTTTCCAGGTTAACGCCGTTTTGAATCAAACAAATCGGTTTATAACTACTCTAAAGGATTTTTATACAGTTATATATTTTCTACAATTTACTACGATCTACATGGTTACTTATTACACAAAGCAATACGTAATATGGCTATCTATTAATGAACTAACTCTAAATATACTTAAAACAAATCTATACAGTATCACAGTCATAATACAAAGTCCATTCATTAAGCATTTATTAAATTTTCGAAAGAAAAGTAATTGACATATTCGACTCTTGAGTTGGCACGTCCGGTAGAAGAGTACGCTTGTTTGCGAAGTGCCAAATGAATTACAATATAGTATAGCATTTTTCCTATAGCACATATAAAAGACGAGACATTATTGTAGTGAGAATGGGCTTGTAATCTTAGAGCGGGCGCACATCATTGACTTAACTATTGAACAACTGTTGTGCGATTGTCGATTGTTTCGTAGCCCATTCAACTGTTTAGTTACACAACTATAAAGCGATAAAACAGTTGTACGATAGTTTAGTCAAAGAAGTCCGAGCGCTTCTAAGGTCTACTATATGTTCTTTTTAATTTTTAAATTTGTAATTGTACTGTAGTTATAAAATGTATTTAACTTTTACAGTGAAGAAATTCGTGATGGAACCAACACATTCTGATCAAAAAAAGATGTCGACACACTTCGTACTGGGTCAACAGTTTGGACTTCCTGAATGAACTTGGTACGTATAATTTCCCTAATGAAAAACATCACTAAATTACACTACCTAAACAATTAGAATTCTGAATTCGACTTAAGTACGTTTTTTAATCTTAATTAATCGTAATGCCTATAAATTAATAGTTTAAATTTTTGCGCTACCTAATTTCTTTTAATTAATAAATAACCTCAAAATTGTAACTACAAATTACACTTACAGACTAAATTCGCACAATATTACGTCTACGCAGAGTATTTATTTGCTATTTTTTTATTTAATTAAACAAAATCAGAATTAATTGGAACGTGAAAATTAGACAATAGATTTAATAAATTATCTAAATATTTGAATACTGTAAGGAATAATTTATGTACAATTTTAAGTTTAGTTTCCCGCTTTTATTTCTGAACTGACAGTTTCATTGAAACAATCATTCGATACGCCGCTTTGCACGGAACAATAACTGGCTGGTGAACTTCTATCGCTGGAATTTTTTTCCTGATTATATTCGACCATACTCCCGCTCGGTTGTCGTGGAATATTCTGGAACGCGATTGGATATGGATTCGAGATTTTATCCGGTTTCTTTAGTAATTCCTCAATAGAATATGGATTTTTCTTTTTTTCTTTAGTTTTATGATCTTGTTCATCATCCGGCCGGTCAGTGCTATCGTCACTAGCTTCGACTGATATATGTTCTGAATTCTCCGATTTCACGTCATCCGAATTTATTCTATTTAGGAGATCGCTGTGTAGACTGAGGTAAGGGGTGAAGTTTTTAGAATCAGTGTGGTACGGCATCATTATTCTTTGCCAAGGGGATATCGGGTAAGGTTTCAATAGTCCTTGTGCTTGGACTTGATTGGCTAAAAGCCATGACGTGGCAAGCCTTCTATCGTAGATTTGAGCGGGGTCTGTCGACTGCGATGGATGTATTCTGACAGCTGAGTGAGCGAAGTATGGTGTTGTTTGCTGTGGAGGTAGTGACGGTGCCAAAGATGTTTTCAATGCCATGTAGTCCATAACACTGGGCGAGAGCTCCGGTTGTGGGTATGGTTCTGAAAACAAAAGAAATATTGATTTGAAATGCTTTTTTAAATACTAAAATGTTGAAGTAAATGGAATCGTCTCACTATGTAGAATGATTTATTACATTTGAAGACGAAATTAGCTACACTATAACTGCTTCATAATAATTTATTAAATCTTTTTATATTAATAATAGTTATAGAATTCTGAGTTTTGCATGTAAATAAAAAAAATACTTGTAAACATCGAGAGAAAGTTCAACATCTATGCCAACACTTCCGTTACGCTTTAGGTTATATATTTTCACACCATTAAACTTAGGGATTAAATATTTTGGATAAAAACCCTAATGTGGGAAAGAGACCATAAGTTGCTGCCAACATCAAGGAAACAAAATTGCCATAGTAAGGTAATTGGTATTTTGACATTTGCAATTGAGAATTTGACAAATTTAAACAATGAAATAAAGTTTTTATTATTATATGCGGATGAACCCGCACGGGTGCAGCTAGTTTTAAATAAGATCCGTGTAGCCGTTCTAGAGATCTTGTGTACAAACTTACATATTTATAATTATAACATTAGTAAGAAGATTCGAAATTAGAAAAACTTTTAAAAATAAAAGAAATCGAATAATAGGTGTTGTTTAATTATTAATCAATAATAATTCAAATAACATTTGAAAGCATTGAAAATGATCGAGAAAGTCGACATTTTACGACTTGGACATAATGGAATACTAAATAACACCTCGCTCGAGACAGAGAAATAGACAACGTACGGAATAAATCAGTCATATTATAAAACAGACATCTTTACAAACATGTTTATAGAACAATGTAAATAAATCTTGGTGAACTAGGATTGTTCCAGACAATACCTTACAGAACTTAAGAACAGAAACAGTTAAGAACGAGTCATTTCTTGGCAAAGATAGATTAGTGCAGGGCCGGTTTTAGAATTACCAGTGCCATGGGCGAGATTTTTATATAAACCCATAGGGAAAAGACAACCGTGGTGACAATTTATGCGCCTATGCATTTTATTTCCGGGGTTATAAATGCGCCAGAGATAAATAAATTTTAATTTGTTAACTAGTTTTATTTCCAAGTTTTTTTGTATTTTTATGTCCGTAAAATTAATTGTGGATACTTTTTATAATGTAGTACGTGGTCGATGAACCGCTTAAGGCTTCTGACAGAAAGAGGCGCTATATGAGACTTACAGTCACCACATGGAAATAAGGGGTAGAAATTTGACCCAGTGCACTTGTACAGTCAAACCGGCCCTGGTTGTATTTATAATCTTTGTTTGTTATAATTTCATACTAATGTTTAATTTAAATGTTAAAAATAATGCGTTTTAGTGATCTATCATTTACTAAACCAAAATTAAACATTGTTTATAAATTATGTATTAGATACTAGCTATCTCCCCCGACTCTGTTAGCGTGAAATTAAAACAAAATATAAATGAGTAATCTATGTGTTCTTCGAGCCTATCGTCTTCATCTATATCGAATTTTATTGAAATCCGTTCAGCCGTTTAGGCTACAAACTCTAACAAACATTCAACCATCTAAACTTTCGCATTTATAATATTAGTATGATTATGGCGTTTGTTAATTTTTGAAACAAATGACAATATAATCAGCATAATTTATAGCTGTTTGCGCAACGATATAATAGTTTGAACAACAAACTTCCTGCTTTTCATATCTACTTGTAAATTTGTATAAAAATCCAATTTGTTGGTGAGAATAATTTTGTTAACTATCTTTATCGGGATTAATAAATTTACATAGGGGTAATTCAAGGTATTTTTAACAGTTAACATGTCTTTAGTGTATGATTATCTCATTTCCGAATAATTAAATGAGACAATAAATTTTCGAGTTAAACTTCCTTACACCTGTCTATGGACACATTGGGTGTGTCTCATTGAAGTGTTAAGTTTACTTTAAAAATTTATTAACAAATTATTTTTGATATAACGATAGAGGGATTTAAACGAATGTCCAAATGTATTTATGAGGGATTGTATGACTTTTTTTTATGTTTTTTTTTGTACTTTTTTATTACTTTTAAACATTTATGTCTTTTACTTAAAGTAATTTAGTTAATACATAATTTTAAATGGAATATGTTGTTTGTAGATGTTCATTTAATTTTCTAGTATAGGAACACACAAAAAGGTGTACGTTTTTTTTAAGATAATTTTATCATTCACTTGCCCTTATCCCTTATGGAGGGTCGGCACCGTATATGCTGGTCTGCCATACATCTCTATCAGCCGTCATATCTGAATTCACTCTTTTCTTAAGCATGCCCTCTTTCACACAATCCATCCATATTTTCTTCGGTATCCCACTACCTTTGTAGCCATCCACATTCGATCTTCTTTCTGGTTTATGTCCCCATCGTTTCGTTATATAACGAAACGATGGGGACATAAACCAGATAAATGAAATGAAATGAGAATGTGAATATAAATGTTCACATTCTCAACATTAGCCATTCTTGTCACACCACGCATCTTAACACACGCATCTCAGCTACTTGCAATCTCCTTTCATTCTCAAATTTGGTGGCCCAACAGTAAAGATAATTTAGAGAAGAAATAGTAGTAAGGTTCATCGAAATCAATTTATCGAAAAACATATTCTACGCCAAAAAGGTTATCTCTGGTATAGCTTACCGTGTCCACTTCTCGGTTCTTCATCACTCCACGCGAGGCCGCTGTTCCTCAAGATCCTGTTGACCGAGGAGACAGATGGTATGGAATGTGGCTCGCATACTCTCGCACTGAGCAGTCTCTCTCGGATCTCCCACGCGAACATGCCCGGGTTCTCTTGCTTTAATCGCAGTATCTTCTTCACGACCGTAGGTGTTGCCACTTGCTGGAAAACGAATTGTTAATTTAAATTTCGATATTTATTTTTGTAGTTAGTTTTTACTCAATTTAGGGAATAATTCGGAATGAACGATCAAGTTTCTCGTTAGTTTTTACGTGTTAATTTTTTATTTTTTACTACCTGTTGCTTGTGACTTCGTCCGCGTGAAAAAAAATATAGCCCATGTTACGCACAGATAAATTACCTTTCTAAGTGTGAAAGAATTTTTAAAATCGTCCCAGTAGTTTTTGAGTTATTTCAATACATACAAAATACGAATCTTTCCTCTTTATTAGTATAGAAGAAGATTGCGTCATTGATTGTCATTTGTCTGAACTTGAAACTATTGTCTCTACTAACTCACTGATTTGGCCACTAAGGGTGTAATAATAGTGAGAAATAAACACTAAGCGATTGTTTAATCGTTATTAAATCCTTGTCTGCGGTTGTACATTTTCGAATATGAGAAATAAATACGTGACTTATTCTTCTGTGATCGTTACGCTATTAAAAAAGTTGATGAAAAGCCGTAAATATTCGCGTAGAGGTCGATAATAACACGGAATTACTAACCGCACATGTCATGAAGCGGTGATGAGCGGTGCATGCGCGTTAATGCTAGTTTCACACGAGGGAATAGTGAACAGAGCAGTAGGACACTGGTAGTACTACAGTTTCAACACGTAGCAAGTCAACATTCTATTAACGATATCTATAGTGAAACTAAGTTGAAATGTCTTCGTATTGTTAATATCTAGTTACAAATATTCTTGTCTTTTCGATTGTTGTTTTGAGAGTAGATTGACTTTAAACGATAGCAGTACCGTACTATGCTACTGCACTATTTCATTGTTTTCCCTCGTGTGAAACTGGCATTAATGTCAGTTTAATAACGCCGCTCGACCGTGATGTTTGTATTTACTCGGAAACGTGTCATTTACTGTCTCGAAAGTGTGAAAGTCATACATTTTTCTTATAATGGGAAATGCGAAATATATCGTAGGGAATAAACGGGACATTAGTCGCTTTCTTTACTTAAAAAAAAACTATTATCTTTATTTGATACATATACAAGGGAATTTGATAGGGAGCTCGCTTAATTTCGAACTCATAGTAAACCAAGAGTTAATTAAAAAAATCTTGCTCTCCAACTGAGTATAGGCAGGACTATGTTTTTTTCTTTTTTTCTCTTAATTAATATAAGTAACTTTCTAATAATTTAGTTGCCGGAACACAAATACATCTTACTAATATTATAAATGCAAAATTTTAGATGGATGGATGTTTGTTAGAGTTTGTAGCATAAACGGGTGAATGGATCTTGATGAAATTTGATATAGACGTAGAGGATTGTCTGAAAGTACACATAGGCAAACTTTTGTTTTTTTTTCTCAATCCTCGCAGACGGAGTCACGGACAAAAGCTAGTATCTCATAAATTCTATTAGTTTAAAATAAAATGATCATTTATTGAACCAGAAGTAAAAAAACAAACTCGTCTATCTTGATATAGGGCCAGTGTCCAATCTGATATACCGATAGAGGCGCACTCTAACGTCGCCTAATGAGCCTAAGCCGAGTTATTATTGCAAACAGATGTCCCATTCTCACGAACTTTCATTTCACTGCCAATACTTTATTACACATCGAGTGTACTAAAGATATACAGTCTAATGAAAATTCCAACACTAATAAACTGCTCGTAAATTATACGAAATATTCTAGGGCTTTTATTGGCCTTTTTTTGGCAGAATGTGACGATCAACTTTTAAAGAAAATTAAAAAAATCTAATGTCAAATGACGTCACAGTCAAAGGCAACATTTTCATTCTGCTATTTTAATTTTTAATGGAATTATTTCAATAAAACGAGTTCCTGGTAAACAGTAATCAATAACAAATGTCGATGTTTTATTAGAATTATTTCCAGGAAATGCGTGCTCCTAAAATTGTCTAATTCAAAAGGCCAATTATCAAAATTCAACGTCAGAAAACCATTAAACGTATCCTATTTTTTTCTATGTGAATGCACCAGCATGCGAGCTTTAAAAATAATTATTAGTCTTTTAAGAAGGCTGTCAAAGATAATGTTTAAATAGTAGCCTTCGGTAGTAAGGTGTGGCGAGACCACTCCGCGTATGGTAGGCGTTAATTTTGGTAGGAAACTGGTGATTATGCTATTAGATGCTCAATCGATATCCTATTGAACGCTCAATTTTAACGCCACCTTTTTTTCTTTTTCTAATCGCAGGCTGCGCAGGTTGCCAGTCACACTGTAATTATTTTGACGTATCCACAAAAGGTGCTGTCACAATGTTTTGAACGATTTTTGGTACCAAGGCATATTTTTTAAATTATTCTAAATGTAACATTGGGAAAAATACATAAATTTGATGCCAGTTGTCTTACAATCTCAAGATGCCTTAAGCGCTTTGGAAACGATCAAACTTTCTGTCAAATTTGTTTGATCCGGACATTAATTTCAAATCTCAAACTGTCAAACTTTTAATGTTTGACAATACAATTGTTCGTTTACTGTTCTCATACTGGGGAATGTGCAGTTATATTACAGCTTTAGTCTATTCTTTGCAATAAATTAGTTGCGATTTGAAACGGCTTGGCGATACGGTGTAGAGTACGGTATAGAGTGGAGAGCGGAGCTAAGCCCGCGTACGCCGGTAGCGGGCTCTGGCGGCCGGTCACGGCGTCCCGTTCTCCGCGCGACGCTTTTTGCTGCGCGCGCGCATCAATCATACTCTGACACATCCAATATCTGTTTTTGCGCCGGCCGCTACGCGAGACGCAACAAAATGGCGCTCGTAACTGTCCACAAACGCGTGGACGATTAGTGTTTCTTATTACCGATTTCTATTAGACTTTCCACCTTCCTGATGGGGTGAAAGATAATTTGCCGGGGCGTGAGACCCGTTGCTTTAATGACGGATTGATTCGATATTAATTCGAGGGAGGAAGATGTGACGTTTCTCCGTTAATATTCGCTTAATGCGGTATTGCAGGTGCCTCCGCTAGTTATCTAGGAGCTGGCGAGTTTTTATTGACATCAAAAAAGTACCGTTCCTCTAAAGGCATTAATTAAGGCTTTAGTTATGACCAATTTAGGTGTATTACAAACTTAAGTAGTTTTTACGTTAATATGTTCGTGTATTACTGCATAATGTTTTTATAGGTTATGTTCTTTGATGGTAATTTGATTTTGTTAGTAATAAATTGTTATTAAATATTTATTTAATAACTGTACGAAGTTTAAAGTTGAGATTACGTTAAAGTGTTCACAGAGCAATCCATAAGTAAGTGTAAATTTTTGACTTCACTTAAACTTTAAATAAATTAATGGCAAGATACAAGGTACAAACATTAAATAAAGTAAAAGTAATCGAAATATTATTACTAGAAACTGTTTATATCAGAGTTTTAGTCCTAGTATTGTTTATTTACTCTTTCGGATAAATGTGTATTTCAGGACTTCCAATCTTTCACGTTATAAAGTTAACACCCATTTATCTTAACTTTTGACTTTAAACATATAAATATATCTGCAGGAAGTGTAAGATACAGCTGTGAAGAGAGTATGTCGCAATTTGCGGACAGCGGTGAACTAATGATAGGCCAAGATTCATAATGACGATCAAGGCGCTTTTTTTACAAGTAACGGTGGTAAAGCAAATAAGGAAGACGTACATAACATCCGTATGTTAATCTGTTAATTTATATCAAAGTTTTAAGTACATAGATCAATATTTTTTTGAAGATAGTGAACAGCTAAGGTTACGTATAGACCTATAAGGATCTTATAGCAATTTCTGACATTGAGAGGGGGCGCCTGCTAATTAGAGTTACCAATAAGTAAAAAATTCCCAATTTATTTCGAAATTCTCCCTTGTTGAAAACGAAACCAAACTGTAGTGTATGAAAATGATAATCACTCGTGCAGTTGCCGCTTCCTAATTGGTTAAAATATGACGCTTCCAAGATGACAACGTTAGTTCACGTAATTGCCAACTGCTGTATGATCCTTGTAGGTCTATACTCTTTATGTATGAGAAATACCAGTGAAATAATATAAATGCGAAAGTTTAGATGGTGGATGTTTATTAGAGTTTGTAATATAAACGGCTGAACTTATCTCGATGAAATTTGGTATAGATGTAGAGGACAGTCTGGAAGGACACATAGGCTACTCAGTTTTTTTTTAATTTAACGCGGACAGAGTCGCGGGTAATAGCTAGTGAAATATAAAACATGATTTAAAAATGATAAACTGTCACATAAAATGAAATAAGACATCTTACGACGGTATTATATGACACAAAAGCGGCAATTTCCATCGATACTCGATTGCATAGGAAAATATTTCCAATATGTTTTATGAAGGAGCTTTACGGTATTAAGAGGCGCGTAATAATATTGACAGCGTAATCCGTCGGGAGGACCATAAAGGGGTTATTATCGTTGCAAATCCGGCAACGCATGAACTAATCCAAACCTATGATACTGAATGACATATGTATCTATGTTTTTTTTATATAATAACCTAGCAAACGAGCAGGCGGTCACTTAAATCCATCAAAACGGCAAAGCGAACGCTGCCCATATACATCCGTAATTGCAAGTGCTGCATTGCAAAATGATTTAGGATATGCAACATCCTAAATCAACGAAGAAGGAAAAGCACATAAAGAGGATATTTCTTCTTCCTACGCGTCTCCTTCACCGTCAAATCAACTTTCCTATCCAATCCTTTCCTTATAAGAAAAGGATGGAACGGGAAAGGGACTAAAACTAGGCTTTTGGCACCACACTAATTAGACGAAACGCCGAATTGCTTTCACTTCACGCCTGTCTTTTATATAGTCGTGGTATTGCTGGGGGCGAGCCAACCCATTCGTGCGAAGATGTAAATCTGGCTCTACCACTGTAAAAACTTTTACGCACGTATAAACATTCCATAAGAACCAATCCAAATTATACATACTATGAAATACACGCG